GTCGCCTGTCTCGTCGCAATAAACGGGCACTTCCAGATTTTGGGCTAAGAGTTCAACTTTCTGCCTGATCAGCCCAATTAACTCAGCTTCCTTTTCTAAATGCTTCGGTTTTGACTTATCCACATTTGGATCGGTCTGCGTCGCACAGAGCAATCACAGAGCCTCACTAACTGACTTGCTGGGAATTCGCCAGCCGACGGCTTCGACCCATCCCAGTTTCCAGTTTTCTTACGGATTGATGGCGACTGTGCAGGCTGTTAGAATTGCTATTAAAGTAACCTATTACGTCAAATATTTAGTGTACGTCTGAAAATAGCTCACCATTCTGGACTGGTGAGTCATATTATGTAAGGCTTTCATCACGAGTCCTTCGTTCTCCTTTCAAAACCAGTTTTAACATAATGAGGACGGTAATATGACATAGGTTAGTAGTACATATTAGCACTTGATTCAGAACGCAGACAGGGAGGACGCTGGAACTTGGGTCAGCAGTTAATGGTCGAATACTCAGTGAGACGTTCCGTTGGCTTTATCTCCGCAGACCGCAGATGACTGAGTTGTTCTAGGCGTTTTTCGGGCCCCACAGGTAGGTGGTCTGAATCCAAAATCAGACGGTCAGACTTTGCGCCTGGTGACGACCGAGGCATGCCGTTAGTTAACACTAACCTACTATGACCGAACGGTTCTTTTATGCTGTGCATCACGATTCGGATTCTACCACAAACTGTGCTATACACCCACTGACCCGACTTCGTTTCTGCTAGCGTTACGATGTCTCTCGTACCATTCACATAGGGAGCAACCACAGACAAACACCACGGAGAAGCTTTGCCGACAAAACAGAGGAAAAGTGGATGGTGAATGTTGACCTCTTTGACGTCTTTGTTGGCAGTACTTTTGCACGATTTATTGCTAGTTGCTAAGAGGCGGCCCGCGAGGACGCAAAATCAGAGCTTCAAAACAAAATGGAAAGCCTGTTTCCAATTCCGCAAGCAAGTCAGGTCCTGGATGTCACTCCAGACGGACTTTAAACATAGCGAAATTGCTCAAAATCAGATTGCAGCGATAGATGAAGATCGAATTCTCCACGATGCGGAAAAAACCCTTAAAGTGCATATTCGCGGAAAATGGAGAGTACGAGAGGCAGTCAGCACTTAAGGGGCACTTTACCTCCGTTGATTGGCGCACCTGCCCGCACCACACAAGTACAGTGGAGCAGGACAGTCATGCTCGTGAGAAGACCGGCAGTGAAGACCCGAGCAAATGAGGTAAGAGCGTGTGAAAGCGGGGTCACCCACTCAAAAAAGCCTTTTGTGTTAATTTAACCGCTGGTAAATCTCAGTGAGCAGTGGAAAACCCAAGAAAAAGAAATGATGTTTCATGTCGGCGTCCTCTTCACTGCTTAGTATTTTACTGTAACATGCAGCTTTTATCATTTTTATGGTTATCAACTCACATTCCGGGAAGCGGCGTCCTTCAACACCCATTGCCTGAGCAGAGTGCGCAGCATAGTCGTCTAAATTCACCACGATGAGGAAAAATAATGTCAAGGAGTTTAAATCGAGAACATGAAGCATGCAGAAAGGTAAGTTTGGAATGTGACTTAAGGAAAAATCTTGTGAAATCCCCACTACATAACTCTTCGTTTACTTGAAGAAGGAGACACGATCGCTGGGACAACAGTTTTATTAGTCTGACGTTTCGGATTTCTGCTCGAACCCATCATTAGAGACAAAGCAGATACGGGTGTTTCATGCATAAGGGGCTGCAGTATTTGTAGGATGCAGTAGCCATGCTACCGCATACCTATGAATATTCACGGCTCCCCCCTTCATCAGGGATCGTTGCAGGTGGTGTGATGACCGACCTTCGCGTCGTTAATTGCTGCAATGTCATCACGTACGTTGGATGTTGGTATAATGATTGCTCGACCATCTGACGCGCTGACCCTGGTGTTGGGAAATGTGTTCACCTGTGCGCTCCCCGCGTGGCCAATTCCTCCGCCTAGGCGAAGCCTCAGCACCGAGTATGGAATAGGAAAATCATTGCGCTTGTTCATGGACTGGGGGCCAGTAAACCATGACTCAAGCAGCTCCCGGCTCACGCGATTGTCACCTCTTGCGAGAATTTCGGCCTCGTCAACTTTGAATGTGTGACCGGATCTCGTCGAATGAGCCAATGCTCTTGTCCCAGCGATCGTGTCTTCTTCTTCAAGACCGCTTCCTGGGACTCGTCTCTTCGCCTCTATTGTCTTCGTTTACTCCTGCGCTCCTGCCTGGAGCCTTCACATCCACGGGACTAGGATCGCTTCTGCTGGCAAACGATACAGTTAGAGTCCATGGTTAAGCTGGTAGAGCGTTGAGCTCAATGGCCCACCGCATTCCGTTCAAACAAATGTACTACCGAACTGAGGCTGGAATTTGATTGACCGGTGATGGCAACCAGGCCAGAATGAAAATTTCATCCTCATTCTTACTTGTCAGTAATATTTTCTGATCCCTGGGTTCTCGGCGCTTTGTGACCACCCGAGAGAGCTTCTAGCTACTGAAGTGCTCTCATTAATGTAAACAGGCTGTTTCAAATTATAGCTAAGGACACTGCACTCAACAATCCTGCTGGTATCCCACCTACAGTAATTCGACTTAACGCACTGTGGCCGCACGAACCTGTGGCCAGACAAGCGGACAGTGATTTTGTGGGAGAGCAACACTTGCCAGATACTTCACAGTGATCGTCAGGAGATATTAGATGTTGTTTGATTTCTTTCTCTCCCCCTCGGGGATTGAATTCCTTTAATGCTGAGGCATTGGCCATTATACAAGACAGCCCCATCGATGCAGCATCGCTGTGCAGCTTTTGTTGAGGACTGAGTACCTGTCCCGCTCGGACCCATGAATGGTAAACCCGTTTATCAAAAGTGACTGGCCAGAGGTGAGACTGAAGGGAATTGTAATTGTGTCAGCGTCAGCGCGTTAAGCAACTATGTCCAGACTTTTAAATTAAACCACTGCACGTGGCGCGTAGTGTGCCCACTCGGACGGGTAAATAGCTGATGTTAGTTAAACATTGCATGATCGAACAGACTCCACTGGACTGGCAAACCGTTGTTGAGAACGAGAGTGTTTCCGTCATAAATCGTACCTGCGAGGTCTCATAATAATCTTGCGACATTGGGAAACACTTGACATACCACTACTTTCGCGAGGTAAAATGAAGAAAACGTGAATTGCGAACATTATGGTTCTTTACTAAAGCCTCGATCAGTTGCCAAAACATAATTACGACCCTTTAAAAGATACTAAGACAGAACTGCCTAAATTTATTTAGAGTTCTACTGAGGACCTTCACAGCACTCACTTTGTATCAGGGAACCACCGTAGGCAACATTGGGTCCCGAAGCGTATTGAGGGGAAACTAAAATAGTAACACTGGATATAAGATGGATATGGGGTGAGGAATGTCGCTAACTGTTAATTTACATCGTGAAGCTGGTTGTGGCCGTCTCATGCGGCCGCTATCATCGCAAGCAGGGACACTCCTATCAGCCTGCCCATTAACATCACCATCACCAGTTCCACCAGCACTGTATACTCAGATCCAACCTCTCCCTGTTGTGCTCCCATCTCCAAATCGCACATCAGTCTGTACGGTCGCTTGCGAATCCATCGCACTGAGACCGGTAAACCAATACCTGAAACTCCTCACACACGCCTCACCTGCCGACATTGCCACCGAACATTTAGACACAGATGGATCTTTTAAGTGGTATGCGGAACTCGCTACAATGTCGCCGCGGCAAAACCACCTCTTACACACAAAACTCCTCTATCACTAGCACTACAAACTTCAACACCGTTGACCTCGCCACCACATTCACCACAGTAGCTACAGTTCCATCCTCCCCTCATTACCACAGTTCATTTGAACCCCGGTCATTTGCAACGCAGTAGCACAGAGACCAGAGAACCAGCCCCCGGAGGTCCGATATACACCCGTCACTCCTGTTATGCTTGCCCACATTGACCCAGGACATTCGTCCATCGCATTAGCGTCTCCATGAAAATCTTAAGTATAGCAACACGGTCCAGACCCCATAACCATACCTCATCCTACCTGCACACACATACACCCCTAGGCCACAGACGAACCTACTCCAGAACATGAGCGTACGCGATGCCCCTTTAACACCATGCCTTCCTCCTTCAGTAAACGCGTAATTCACCCTGCAGTCGTCGACATGACAAGCGAAACGTCGCATGTCAGAATATCCCAAATTCACATAAAGGGGAGGTATGTCCCTCGGTGTAGCCTGGGACGTGATTTGGGGACCATGTCTTGTATGGCACATGTGGACGAGCTGCTTTTTTGTCATCCACTGCACTCAATACCATCGTCAGTGAGTTGGCAGACTCGGACAGTTGATTTGTGTACTGAAGAGGGAAAAGAGAACGAGGTCGACAAAGGGAAACTATCCACAAGTTAAATGAGCACTTTCCTCACTGTAATAAATCTGACACGCTGGGAGTCACGCTCGGGAAGGATGTCAACGGGTGACATAAATCGGTCCTTCGCACAAATGAGGATGAAACTGCAGTGATCCCTCAATGAGGCGTGTATGGTACCCTCATGCATGTGAGATCCGAGCTGCCCCTACAGTAAACTGGTGCGTGCAATGCGGATTGTTGTGGCATAAAATTCTATTCAGTATACGTTGTGGACGAGGGAACGTGGTGGTGCGGGTTTTTGATGTGCCAGCTACCTGCGCTCTCTCCCGCCTACGGCATTGTTAATTCTCTCTTAACACTGGGTCCGGACGGAGGAGGAGGAGAGAGTGACAGAGAGATTCTCGGTAGCTAAAGTATGGGAAATGCAGAAATATGAATCCATCGATATGGTCTACTGATTGGAGATTTTCACGAATGGCCTGAAACATGCCTGTGGTGTGATTTTTACCGCCGTGTGTGCATCTCCGCACACAGGAACTCGGATCCGCCGGCCGGATGGACCGCCACATCATTATCTCCGAGGTGAGACTCCATCTGCAACACCGCAGGAGACCACAACTTTAGTGCCCCCCAGGTAAGCGAACATTGTTCTGCCGCCTTTTCTTTCGCTTATTCTTGTTTGCTTGATCTCCGTCTGCTTGTTTGTGTTGTCCTCGTTGAAATCTAAATGTCGTTCTGTCGAATTTCCTCTGTCTCTTTTGCTTTTTCGCTGTTCTTGCCTGCTTGTTTTTTGTCTGCTTGTTCGCGTCTGACCTTATTCTAAGCTAAATGAAGTTCTGTTAAATTCGCCTACTCACCGATTGTATTTCATCAACCATTAGCCTAGAGAGGGACGAGAAAACTCTGCTTTCCTTCTCTCTACCCTTCCCCCATCCTCATTCCTCCCCTGCAAGCCCTACAGCGATATTGTAGGCGGACGCAGGTTAAGTCAGGTCGTTCTCCCACTGAACACAAGTCATAGCCCATGGTGACGTTCGGCAGCCGTCTGGGACAACGGAGCAGCTCTATTTAGGGAGAGCACTGCTCACCCCCACGAGAGGAAAGGGGCTAGAAAAGGTGCCCTAAACAAATGCTAGGGATTTACGCCGTCTGCAGACTGACCGTCGCCTCAGACGCAAAACTCACGGTCGAAACAATCAAATAAGAGGCAACACCCTCTCTCTTCCCCTTCCTGATCCTCCCCGCCGCCCCACTCGCCAGACCGGTAAGGTGAATCCGTCCAATCTGGCAGCCTGGAATGCTCGTTTCCTTTTAGACAATCCGAGGGGCAACCGATTGGAACGGAGGACGGCATTAGTGTCTCGGGAACTGGCGCGCTACAAGGTGGACATCACTGCACTCAGCGAGACCCGCTTCCCCAAACAAGGCTAACTGGGGGAGGTTGGTGCCGGTTACACCTTCCGGGGCGGTCGCCTCAGGGCACAGTTACGGGACACGAGCATCGTCTTTGCCATCCGGAATGATATTGTGGGACGATTTCCCTGTCTGCCGCAGGGCAACAAAGATCGCCTGATGAGCCTCCGCCCCCCTCTTCGTGGAAACAAATTCGCCACCATCATCAGCATCTACGCCCCGACGAAACGAGAAACAAAGTCTTCGAGGATCTGCACGCCCTCCTGACGATTGTGCGGAAGGCGGATAAGTTAATTGTCCTTGGTGACTTCAACGCCCGCGCGGCACAGACCATGCTGCCTGGAGAGGAGTGCTGCGTCCTCATGGTCTCGACGACCCCAATGATAATGGCCTGCTCCTCCCACGAACCTGCATAGAACACCGGCTCATCCTGACGAACACCTTCTTTCACCTCCCTATGCGAGAGCAGGTCACCTGGATGCATCCTCGGCCGCGTCAGTGGCACCTGTTGGACTATGCTTTCATCTGGAGACGAGACCAGACGGACGCTCTACTGACAAAGGCGATCCCGGGTGGCAACGGGTGGCGACGGGTGGACCGATCATCGGTCGATCACCTCGCAGAATCGGATTCACCTATGGCCTCGCAGGAAACCTCAAGGTAATCAGCCCTCAAGTAAGCTGAATATTACTTTGTTGTCTTTGCCTGTTCACCATCTCCATTTCAGCAGCGCGGTAGCTCAACGGCTGACAACCTACCAGTCGCTGATGCCGCCGCCGCCGCTGACGAGAACGCCTCCGCGGAGAACCTAAGGTGTCGACTACCGGATACAATCAAGTCGACGTCCATGGCTGTCCTCGGTCACGCACGACGCCATCACCAGGACTGGTTTGACGGTAACGAAGCCGCCATCAGCAACCTGCTCACCGAGAGGAACCGCCCGCACAAATCCTACGTCAACCGCAACACCGACGACAATAAAGCGACCTTCTACCGTAGTCGCCGCCTTGCGCAACAGCGGCTGTGCGAGATGCAGAAGGCTTGGACAACTCGTAAAGCCGAGGAGATCCAAGGGTACGCGGACTGCAACGAATGGAAGAATTTCTTCTCCGCAATGAAGGCTGTTTACGGTGAATCGCGAAGGAATGTAGAGAATCGGGCAGAAATTCGGCTGTCCCGAACAATTCAATCAGATGCTGCGTCAGCTCCACGATGGGATGATGCGCGAGTCACAGATAATGAAGCTGTCTCAAAGGTATTCGCAGTGACCAACGGAGTGAAGCAGGACTGCGTCCTCGCGCCCACCCTCTTCAGTCTCATGTTATCTGCCAAAGTCAGCCAAGCCTTCGGCCGTCTGCAAAACATCGTCTGGAACCGTCACGGTCTCCATCCAAACACCAAGCTGAAGATGTACAGGGCAGGCATCCTGCCGACACTGCTGTATGGAGCAGAGACCTGGACGGTCTACAAGAAGCAGGCGCGGAGACTCAATCACTTCCATCTCAACTGACTTCGGCTGATATTAACGCTGAGATGGCAGGACCGGATCCCCGACTCTGACGTACTGGGAAGGAGGGGGATTCTTAGTAGCTACGTTATGAGGCAACTGCAACTGCGTTAGAGCGGCCATCTCATGCGGATGAACGACGAGCGGTTACCTAAATGACTATTCTACGGAGATGTCGTTACGGGTTGCCGCCGCCAAGGATGCCAAATCCGTCGCGAAAAGGACACTCTGAGGACCTTCCTGCAGCGTCTGCAGATCAACCCGACCAACTGGGAAGACGTCGCTCGAGACCGAC